CAGCCTCTGCTTAAAAGCCTCAAGAACTGTTCAACAGTGGAACTCTCAGCCTCGAGAGTCTCTCTCTCTCTCTTCTGATACTTTTAAACAGAGGCTGCATGGCCATCTGTCGGGGGTGCTTTGATGGTCCTTTTCCTGCATGGCAAAAAGAAGAGGGTTGGACTGGATGCCCTTTGAGGTCCTTTCCAACTTCTATGACCCTGAACCTCCTTGGTGTCCTTTGGGGATGATGGGTGGTCTTCTGGAAGGAAGCAGTGACCCTCAGACTGACCGATGACGTGGCCTTTTCCAGGAGACACTGGACGTCTCCTTGCTCTGAGTACCAGGCTAACATCTGGCCACGTTGCAAGCGGCCGGAGAGAGAGCGGCTTCTCCTAGGCAGCAGGCATTCTCTCCCTTTGGAAAGAGGCCAGCCTTGGAGACCGTAATTGCCATGCTGTGCCTCCCTGCCTTAGAATCACAGAGTCGGAAGAGGCCCCCAGAGGCCATCCAGCCCAACCCCCTCCTGCTATGCAGGAAAACACAACCCAAGCCCTCCAATTCTGGGCACCACAATTCAAGAGAGATATTGACTCTAAGCTGGAATGTGTCCAGAGGAGGGTGACTAAAATGATCAAGGGTGTGGAGAACAAGCCCTATGAAGAGCGGCTTAAGGAGCTGGGCATGTTTAGCCTGAAGAAGAGAAGGCTGAGAGGAGACATGATGAGGGCCATGTATAAATATGCGAGAGGAAGCTACAGGGAGGAGGAGGGAGCAAGCTTCCTTTCTGCTTCCCTGGAGACTAGGACGCAATGGAACAATGGCTTCAAACTACAAGAGAGGAGATTCCATCTGAACATGAGGAAGAACTTCCTGACTGTGAGAGCCGTTCAGCAGTGGAACTCTCTACCCTGGAGGGAGTGTGGTGGAGGCTCCTTCTTTGGAGGCTTTTAAACAGAGGCTGGATGGTCATCTGTCAGGGGTGCTTCGAATGCAATATTCCTGCTTCTTGGCAGAATGGGGTTGGACTGGATGATGGCCCAGGAGGTCTCTTCCAACTCTTGGATTCTATGATTCTATGATTCTATGATAGATGGCCGTCCAGCCTCTGCTTAACAACCTCCAGGGTATAAATAGGCACAATAAGTAAACATAATCATTCTTTCCAAGAGAAAGAGCTGCAAACTTGGGTTCCAGATCATGAGATGTTGTCCAGGCCTCGGGCAAGGAGCTAGAGCATCGCCTTGGAAAGTTTTGCTTTCTGAGCAGCATCCCTGGTACAGCTTCGGATTATCACTCTGTAACACATTCTGAAACATTTTCTGTCCCTGGTTTGACAATGTTATTCCCTGTCTCATTGTACAGCCCTTCCTTTGGAAGTAGTTGTTACACTCCCGAAACGTTGTTTTTGTGCCACAAACAATGTTAATTCAATGTATTGTCGAAGGCTTTCATGGCTGGAATCACTAGGTTCTTGTAGGTTTTTTTCGGGCTGTAGGGCCATGTTCTAGAGGCATTCTCTCCTGACGTTTCGCCTGCATCTATGGCAAGCATCCTCAGAGGTAGTGAGGTCTGTTGGAAATAGGAAAAAGGGTTTATATATCTGTGGAATGACCAGGGTGGGAGAAAGAACGCTCTGCTGAAGCTAGGTGTGAATGTTTCAGCTGACCACCTTCATTAGCATTTGAAGGCCTGGTTGAGCCTGGGAAAATGTTCTGTTGAGAGGTGTTAAGATGTGCCTGGTTGTTTCCTCTCTGTTGTTTTGCTGTTGTAATTTTAGAGTTTTTTAATACTGGTAGCCAGATTTTGTTCATTTTCATGGTCTCCTCCTTTCTGTTGAAATTGTCCACATGCTTGTGGATTTCAATGGCTTCTCTGTGTAGCCTGACATGGTGGTTGTTGGAGTGGTCCATCTGTGGAATGACCAGGATGGGACAAAAAACTCTTGTCTGTTGGAGGCTAGTGTGAATGTTGCAAATAATCACCTTGATTAGCATTGCAAAGCCTTGCAGCTTCAAAGCCTGGCACGAACAAGCCACACCAAAAACCTGCCAGGCCATCAAATGCTAATCAAGTTGGTCAGTTGAAACATTCCCACCTAACTCCAACAGACAAGGGTCCTTTGTCCCACCCTGGTCATTCCACAGATATATAAACCCTTTTTCCTAGTTCCAACAGACCTCACAACCTCTGAGGATGCTTGCCATAGATGCAGGCGAAACGTCAGGAGAGAATGCCTCTAGAACATGGTCATATAGCCCGAAAAAACCTACAACAACCCAATGTTAATTCGGTTGGGTCTCTATGCGCATTCAGTCGGTTGGGTCGTCTGTGCGCATTCAGAAGAAGATCTACAAGCCACTCTAAACACCTTTGCAGAAGCATATGAGAAGCTCGGCCTGTCACTGAACATTGAGAAAACCAAGGTGCTGTTCCAGCAGACACCAGCCAACCCCTCTCCAATGCCAGCGATACAGCTTAATGGTGTAACATTAGAAAATGTTGATCATTTCCGCTCCCTTGGCAGCCACCTCTCCACCAAAGTCAACATCGACACCAAAATACAACACCGCCTGAGCTCTGCGAGTGCAGCATTTTTCCGAATGAAGCAGAGAGTGTTTGAGGACCGGGACATCCGTAGGGAGACCAAGGTGCTTGTTCATAAAGCTATTCCCCTCCCAACCCTGCTCTATGCTTGCGAAACATGGACTGTCTCCAGACGTCACATGCAGCCCTGGAACAATTCCATCAGTGCTGCCTCCAGAAAATCCTGCAAATCTCTTGGGAAGACAGGCGGGGAAATGTCAGTGTGCTGGAAGAAGCAAAGACCACCAGCATTGAAGCGATGGTCCTCCAACATCACCTCCGCTGGGCCGGCCACGTTGTCCAGATGCCTGACTACCGTCTCCCAAAGCAGTTGCTCTACTCCGAACTTAAGAACGGAAAACGGAACGTTGGTGGACAGGAAAAGAGATTTAAAGATGGGCTCAAATCCAACCTTAAAAACTCTGTGCATAGACACTGAGAACTGGGAAGCCCTGGCCCTTGAGCGCTCCAGCTGGAGGACAGCTGTGACCAGCAGTGCTGCAGAATTCGAGGAGGCACGAGTGGAGGGTGAAAGAGAGAAACGTGCCAGGAGGAAGGCGCGTCAAGCCAACCCCGACCGGGACCGCCTTCCACCTGGAAACCAATGCCCTCACTGCGGAAGAAGATGCAGAGCAAGAATAGGGCTCCACAGCCACATACGGACCCACAAGGAAATCCATAATGGAAGACCATCTTACTTGTCCAACGAGGGATCGCCTAAGTAAGTAAAAGTAAGGCCACCTCACAACCTCTGAGGATGCTTGCCATAGATGCAGATGAAATGTCAGTAGAGAATGCCTCTAGAACATGGCCATATAGCCCCAAAAAACCTACAACAACCCAATGTTAATTCGGTTGGGTCTCTATGAGATATTCATTGAGAAACGAGAGCAAAATGTCCCTCCCGCAAGAACCAAGTTTGGGCAGTTTAATAAACTTTCCCCATGTCTTTGTGATAGAACCAATTAGGAAATGATGTTGATAAGCCAGGAACAAAAATGGTGTTACATAGTGTCACGAGGGACAGAAGCGACCCTAGGTAATTTTCAATGGTAAGCAAACAGTAGCAGGGTACACAGGGGCGGCGCGTCCATTACGCAAAATAAGCAGTCGCAGAACACTTTTTTTTTTGCCAGGGGTGCAGAGGTGCCTCTGTAAATGCCCCTCGACCGCCACTTGAGGAGCGCCCCCTCAGCTCACAACAGCCCTAGCAGTCCGGGGGGGGGGGAGCCTCGGCTTTCTTGCCTCGCTGCCGGGCGATCCTCTTCCCAAAGGGGCCGGGCCCTTGAGCCTCGCCTCGCCCCTCTCGTTCCTGCTCCACCTGGCTACCGGGTGCGCAAGCAGAGCCGGCACTCAATTGTTCTCCGCGTTCGATCCCTTCCCCATGACCGTCTCCCTTTCCCAATCCCACGGCACTCCACCTACCTCCTCTCCTCTCCTCAATCTGTGGGTGGGCCAAGGGGCGGAGCCACCACACCTGGCCTGCTTCAGGTCCGGAGGCGTGTCTGAAGACCCCAGCGTGCGCACCAAAAGTCGCCTCTTCTCCTGACTTTCTCTTCAGCCATTGGGACCAAGAGAGAGAGAGAGAGAGAGCCCTCCGGCTGGAGGTATCTCCCACCTCCGCTCCCTCCTTTGTTTTTGCGCCTACCTTCAGGAAAGGTGGGCATCTCCACCTCTCTCTCTCTCTCTCTCTCTCTCTCTTGGTCCCAATGGCTGAGGAGAAAGTCAGGAGAAGAGGTGACTTTTGGTGCACACGCCGGGGTCTTCAGGCACGCCTCCGGACCCAAAGTGGGCCAGGCAAGGGAGCAAGTGCGGCAAGTGTAGTTACTGGGATGTATAGTTCACCTACAATCAAAGAGCATTCTGAACTCCACCAATGATGGAATTGAACCAAATATGGCACACAGAACTCCCACGACAACAGAAAATATATATCAATGATTGGTTGGGGGGGGGGGGGGCGCCAAATACTGTTTGCTTACCATTGAAAATTACCTAGGGCCGCCTCTGAGGGTACAGATACCCCCCACCCCAACCAATCACTGATATATATTTTCTGTTCATCGTGGGAGTTCTGTGTGCCATATTTGGTTCAATTCCATCATTGGTGGAGTTCAGAATGCTCTTTGATTGTAGGTGAACTATACATCCCAGTAACTACAACTCGCATATGTCAAGGGCTATTTCCCCCCAAGAGCGCCTCAAAGGCACCCCTGGGCAAAATCAACAGCAAAGGCTTACTTTGCGTAATGGGTCGACAATAATAAACAGACAGTGGAATTCAATAGTGCGACAATCAACATTTGGAAATCTGAAATCAAGGATTGGAAGTGCTTTGCTTTGCTTGATTGTGGCACATTTAACTTAACTTGCTTCCTTCTCTCATTCTCATTTAACTGGCCGCTATCTGACCCATACACTCTCTCTCATTGCAGGAACTGGTGCGCCTACGTTGTGTCGCGAAGTGTGAGCTGCGTGGTGGAGGATGGTGTTGACACCTACGTGAAGCCCGACTACCAGCCGTGCGCCTGGGGGCAGATGCAATGCTCTCGGGTCTTGGCGTGAGTGTGGAGCCCCACTGGGATTCCTTTATGGGTGGGAGGATGCTGCTCTTCAACACTTAGGAAGAGGAAATGAAGCGCAGGGTGGCTTAGGAACAGTCCAAGGGAGAGGTTTCCTGGGGTCTTGGTGGACTTCCGCTTGAGCATCAGCCAACAGTGTGATGTGGCAGCTATAAAGGCCAATGCGATCCTAGGCTTCAGCTATAGCAACAAAGGAATCATAGAATCAAAGAGTTGGAAGAGACCTCACGGGCCATCCAGTCCACCCCCATTCTGCCAAGAAGCAGGAATATTGCATTCAAATCACCCCTGACAGATGGCCATCCAGCCTCTGCTTCAAAGCTTCCAAAGAAGGAGCCTCCACCACACTCCGGGGAAGGCAGAGAGTTCCACTGCTGAACGGCTCTCACAGTCAGGCAGTTCTTCCTCATGTTCAAATGGAATCTCCTCTCTTGGAGTTTGAAGCCATGGCTCCATTGCGTCCTAGTCTCCAAGGAAGCAGAAAACAAGCTTGCTCCCTCCTCCTCCCTGTGGCTTCCTCTCACATATTTATACATGGCTATCATATCTCCTCTCAGCCTTCTCTTCTTCAGGCTAAACATGCCCAGCTCCTTAAGCCGCTCCTCATAGGGCTTGTTCTCCAAGACCCTTGATCATTTTAGTTGCCCTCCTCTGGACACATTCCAGCTTGTCAATATCTCTCTTCAATTGTGGTGCCCAGAATTGGACACAATATTCCAGGTGTAAAGGAAGTCTCAAGGGGTGTCCTTCTTTCCCTAGGCCATCCAAAGCTAAAACGTATGTGTGTGTGTGTGTATGTATATGTATGTTGTTGTTCATTCGTTCTGTCGTTTCCGACTCTTCGTGACTTCATGGACCACTCTACATCAGAGCTCCCTGTCAGCCGTCACCACCCCCAGCTCCTTCAAGGTCAATCCAATCACTTTAAGGATCCCATCCATCCATCGTGCCCTTGGTCGGCCCCTCTTCCTTTTTCCTTCCATTTTCCCAAGCATCATTGTCTTCTTTAGGTGACCTCCTGGACTAGCCCACGCCAGAGCTCCCTGTCGGCCGTCACCACCCCCAGCTCCTTCAAGGTCAATCCAGTCCCTTCAAGGATGCCATCCATTCATCTTGCCCTTGGTCGGCCCCTCTTCCTTTTCCCTTCCATTTTCCCAAGCATCTTCTCTATGTGACCTCATGGACCAGCCCACGCCAGAGCTCCCTGTCAGCTGTCACCACCCCCAGGGACTCCTTCAAGGTCAATCCAGTCACTTCAAGGATGCCATCCACCCACCTTGCCCTTTGTTGGCCCCTCTTCCTTTTTCCTTCCATTTTCCCCAGCATCATTGTCTTCTCTAAGCTTTTCTGTCTTCTCATGATGTGGCCAAAGTGTGTGTGTGTGTGTGCGTGTGCGTGTGTGCGTGTGCGTGTGTGTATGTATATGTCTGTCTGTCTGTCTGTCTATCTATCTATCTATCTATCTATCTATCTATCTATCTACCTACCTAGCTGGATGGAGTTACACCTAAACCATGCCCCTGTTCCAGCTTACAAACAAATGCAACTTAAGAACAACCCTACAGAGCCCCTCTTCTTCATCACTTGGGCCAAGTTTGGATACCAAGCCCTTTGAGGGAGTGGTGGGGGTTTAGCCTGGAAAAGAGAAGCTTCGGAAGGAGCCTTGGAGCCTTGTTTGAACATCTGAAGAAATGCCACAAGGGAGGGAGGGCCGGGTGGATGCCTGTGGTTGCTGCCTGGCGGGGGCCCAGAAGTCATGCTCGCAGAAGGAGCGCATGGGAAGGGACAGGGCTCCCCCTGATGGGCCTCCCTAGAGATTGCGGGGGGGGGGGCATGGGCCAACTTCAGCCTTTCCTGTATAGGGTTCCTCCCAACCCTGCTATACACCTGCAGAACGTGGACTGTCTACAGGCGTCACACGCAACTCCTGGAACGATTCCATTAGCGCTGCCTCTGGAAAATCCTGCAAATCTCTTGGGAAGACAAGCGGATAAATATCAGGTTGGTGGAAGAAGCAAAGACCACCAGCATCAAAGTGATGGTCCTCCACCATGAACTCCGCTGGACTGGCCACATTGTCTGAAAGCCTGATCACCATCTCCCAATGCAGTTGCTCTACTCAGAACTCAAGAACAGAAAACAGAATGTTGGTGGGCAGGAAAAGAAGTTGAAAGATGGACTTAAAGCCAATCTTAAAAACCGTGGCATAGATACCGAGAACTGGGAAGCCTTGGCTCTTGAGTGCTCTAACTGGAGGTCAGCTGTGACCAGCAGTGCTGCAGAATTTGAAGAGGCATGAATGGAGGGCGAAAGAGAGAAACATGCCAAGAGGAAGGAGCCACGTCAATCCAACCACGACTGGGATGGCCTCCGTCTGGAAACTGATGTCCTCGCTGCAGGAGAACATGCAGATCAAGAAAAGGACTCCACCTATGGACCCACCACCAAGACACTGCACTTGGAGGGTCATCATCCTCAAAGAACGAGGGATCGCCTAAGTATAGGGAAAGGATACTAGGATGTGGAGCAATGGCTTCAAGCGACAGGAAGGAGATTCCACCTGAACATTAGGAAGAACTTCTTAACTGTGAGAGCTGTTCAGCAGTGGAACTCTCTGCCCCGAAGTGTGGTGGAGGCTCCTTCTATAGAGGCTTTGAAACAGAGGCTGAATGGCCATCTGTTTGGTGTGCTTTGAATGTGATTGTCCTTGGCAGAATGGGATTGGACTGGATGGCCCATGAGGTCTCTTCCAAATCTAGGATTCTATGATTCTACAATAGGATAATCTAAAAATTACAGTAACAAACTAGTATTGGGAATGGTGGTCCAAAAAGGAGACCCTTCCCAAGTTCTGGGCTATGCAGTTTTGGTGTTATTCCTCTGTGGGGTCAGGCAGATGCCCCCAATCCTAGCTGACCCTCATCCCTTTGTCCCTCCCTCCTTACCTTCCATCCAGGTACCGGAGCTTCCTGCGCCCACGCTACAAGGTGGCCTACAAGACGGTCTCGGACATGGAGTGGCGCTGCTGCCCTGGCTATTCGGGGGACGACTGTGCAGAAGGTGGAGTGACCCTCACCACCCCTCGGCCCCCAAGGCCCCCCAACGGACGACCCAACCTCTCCGGATTCAGCAACACGCTCAGCGGCCTCGGGGGAGAAGGTAAGCGGTCAGCGGCCAGAGGTACCAGTGAGGCACCAGTGGGAAGGGGACACTGAGCCACGCACTGCGGTCAGTTTGATTGTCCGTGTCATGAATACTTTTCAAACTTTCAAAAACACTAAAAATATGATTTTGTTTCATTCACATTGAGGCAAGAGTATATTACAGAGCAATACCGAGAAAGGAAGGGGACACATACAGACTAGCTCAGGCCTGGGCAAACTTGGGCCTTCCAGGTGTTTTGGACTTCAACTCCCACAATTCCTAACAGCCTACCGGCTGTTAGGAATTGTGGGAGTTGAAGTCCAAACCACCTGGAAGGCCCAAGTTTGCCCAGGCTTGGTCTAGCTACATTGAGTGCAAAAATCCACAAAAATCAACATTGACACTGAAATACAAAACCGCCTGAGCTCTGCAAGCGCAGCATTCTTCTGAATGAAGCAGAGAGTGTTTGAGGATTGGGACATCCATAGGAAGACCAAGGAGCTTGTTTATAAATGTTATGAACCCAAGGAGGTTCCTGTTCTTTTGTTCAAGAGTGTTCAAGGAATAGTAAGGCAGTTTAGACCAATGAGACACTTTAGAGACCAAATCTGGGTCACTTTAGAGACCAACTTTGGGTCACTGGATGGCCCAGGTCTCTTCCAACTCTTTGATTCTATGATTCTATGATTCTTCCTTAAGTGATAACTGGTTTTCCTTCTTAAGGAGCCTTGTTTGCTTCCTTTTTTTTAACGTAAGGAACCTTGTAAACACTTCCGTAATTTAAAAGAGCCATTTTCTCTGGTAATGTAAACATGTTGTTTTCCACCACAGAACATCCTGATTCCATCAGTTTCTGGACAGAGGTTGACTTCCCTTCTTTAAGGGATAATTGGTTTCCCTTCTTAAGGAGCCTTGTTTGCTTCCTTTTATTAACGTAAGGAACCTTGTAAACACTTCCGTAATTTAAAAGAGTCATTTTCTCTGGTAATGTAAGCATGTTGTTTTCCACCACAGAACATCATGATTCCATCCGTTTCTGGACAGAGCTTGACTTCTCTTCCTTAAGGGATAATTGGTTTCCCTTCTTAAGGAGCCTTGTTTGCTTCCTTTTTTGACATAAGGAACCTTGTAAACACTTCCGTAATTTAAAAGAGCCATTGTCTCTGGTAATGTAAACATGTTGTTTTCCACCACAGAACATCATGATTCCATCCGTTTCTGGACAGAGCTTGACTTCTCTTCTTTAAGGGATAATTGGTTTCCCTTCTTAAGGAGCCTTGTTTGCTTCCTTTTTTTAATGTAAGGAACCTTGTAAACACTTTCATAATTTAAAAGAGCCATTGCCGGTTGTAATGTAAACATGTTGTTTTCCACCACAGAATTAATAATTGGTCTCTGGCCATGTCATCAGTTCAGCACTTCTTCTTTTTGTGGGTTGCCTGGCTCCAATTTAGATTGGCCCCAACCATATATCTTTCATACAATTTCATTCAAACCATACATCATATTTTCATGACATCCCTAGTCCAGTTCTTCTGGGTCGGTATACAGGCAAGTGAAAACTTGGGCCCTCCAGGTGTTTTGGACTTCAACTCCCACAATTCCTAGCAGCCTAGGAATTGTGGGAGTTGGAGACCAAAACACCTGGAGGGCCCAAGTTTGTGCATACCTGTTATCGACACTCTTCTTCCAGAGATGCAGCCTAGAATCATGTTCTCCATCACACTCTCTTTTCCTCACTGCAGGCTCCAGGGACTCAGAGAAGGTGCAGCAGCTGGAGGACAAAGTCCAGCGCCTGACTAAGCAGCTGCAGGACCTCCAGTCTACCCTCCAGGCCAACAATGCTAAGCTGACCGAGGATGTACGGCGGGCTGTGGAGGCCTCCCTGAACGGCAAGCAGCCGGCGGATGCGGCTGCCCACCCGGAGATGAAGGAGACCCTCAACGAGATCCAGCGCCACCTCCAGCGCCTGGACAACCGCATTTCCGACCAGGAGAATGGCGGAGGCAGCACCGGCTCCGACGTCAAGGGCGAAGTCCTGCGGGAAGTGGAGCGTCGGCTGCAGAGCTCCTGTGCCTCCTGCTTGGCCGGAGTGGAGGGCCTGCAGCGGCAGCAGGCGGAGGACCGTGAGCGCATGCGCGCCCTGGAGAAACTGGTCACTGCTGTGGACCAACGAAACCGGGATGCCGTGGATGCCGTCCGGCAACATCTGGGACACCTGGCTGACCGGTTGCCCAAGGAGGACTGCTGTTCTCAGCTGGACGGCCGGGTGGGTGGCCTGGAGCAACGCTTGGACACCCTCTCGGACTCTTTGGCCATGCTGACCGGACAGACCGGGGGCCACAGGCTACAGCCCCCTCCCTGGACACTGGACCGGCGCATGTCCGAGATTGAGGGACGTGTCAACACCACTCGCCGCGGCCTGGAGGAGCACCTGGCTGACCTTCAGGTGAGGCTTTCCATTGCACTATTTTTGTTCCTGGGTTATAAGTATCGTTTCCGAATTGGTGTTGTTGTTGTTGTTGTTCATTCGTTCAGGCGTCTCCGACTCTTCATGACCTCATGGACCAGCCCACGCCAGAGCTCCCTGTCGGCCGTCACCACCCCCAGCTCCTTCAAGGTCAGTCCAGTCAGTTCCGAATTGGTTCCGTCATAAAAACATGGGAAACGTTTATTGAACTGCAAAAACTTTGTTTCTGCAAGAGGGACATCCTGCAGCACAGTATAATATATTATATTAATTGCATTGTATTATTATAATTGTATAATAATAATATTGGAGCTTCCGGTAGTGCAGTGGGCTAAACTGCTGAGCTTGTTGACCGAAAGGTCGCAGGTTCGAATCCTGCCCCAGCTTTTGCCAACCTAGCAGTTCGAAAACATGCAAATGTGAGTGGATCAATAGGTACCGCTATTCTTTCACCTTAAGAACAGACAAGCATCCTGAGCTCTGAGGATTATCACCTGGGAAGGAATCCCACTGGAGCATTGCAGCGCACCCAAATCCCTGGGAGTCAGTCTGGACCATGCTCTGACCTACAAGAAGCACTGCCTGAACATCAAGCAAAAAGTGGGTGCGAGAAACAACATCATACGAAAGCTGACTGGCACAACCTGGGGATCACAACCAGACACAGTGAAGACACCTGCCCTTGCGCTATGCTACTCTGCTGCTGAGTATGCATGCCCAGTGTGGAACACATCTCACCACGCTAAAACAGTAGATGTGGCTCTTAATGAGACATGCTGCGTTATCACGGGGTGTCTGCGCCCTACACCACTGGAAAAATTACTACTTAGCCGGTATTGCACCAACTGACATCCGCCGGGAAGTAGCAGCCAATAGTGAAAGGACCAAGGCAGAGACATGGCCATTTGTCAGGGATGGCCATTTGTCAGGGGTGATTTGAATGCAATATTCCTGCTTCTTGGCAGGGGGTTGGACTGGATGACCCAAGAGGTCTCTTCCAACTCTTTGATTCTATGATTCTATGATTCTATGACATCTCCAGCTCATCCCCTGTTTGGGTATCAACCAGCACGTCAACGACTTAAATCAAGACATCGTTTTTTAAGATCTACAGAGACACTCGCTGGAACTCCTCAGCAAGCGAAAGTCCAAAAGTGGCAGGCTCAAACCCAGAACCTCAACCAATGGCTGATACCAGATGAGAGACTCCCCCCTGGGCACACAGAAGACTGGGCGACTTGGAGGGCGCTGAACACACTGCGCTCTGGCACCACGAGATGCAGAGCCAATCTTCAGAAATGGGGCCACAAAGTGGAATCCACGAGTGTGGAGAAGAGCACACCACAGACCACCTGCTGCAATGCACCCTGAGCCCTGTCACATGCACAAGGGAGGACCTTCTTGCAGCAACACCAGAAGCACTCCAAGTGGCTAGATACTGGTCAAGGGACATTTAGTCAACTACCAAACTCACAAATTTTGTATTTTGTCTGTTTGTTTGCTTTGTTCCGTTAGAAATGTAATATAATTGACTGGTTGCCCTGAAACGACAAAAAATAAAAATAAAATAGGTACCGCTCTGGTGGGAAGGTAATGGCACTCCATGCAGTCATGCCAGCCACATGACCTTGGAGGTGTCTACAGACAACGCTGGCACTTCGGCTTAGAAATGGAGATGAGCACCATCCTGTTGCTACTTGGCACTTATACAGATTCCTCAGGAGAGAAACAAGGTGGCTTGATATGCCCATCCCACCAAGAACTTTCCGCAATTTATTATGAACCACACAGTCAACGGCTTTAGAATAGTCAATGAAGCAGAAATAGATGTTTTTCTGGAACTCCCTGCCTTTCTCCATTATCCAACATCCGGATATTGGCAATTTGGTCTCTTGTTCCTCTGCCTTTTCTAAACCCAGCTTGTACATCCGCTTTGGTTAGACCACACCTGGAATATTGTGTCCAATTCTGGGCACCACAATTCAAGAGAGATATTGATAAGCTGGAATGTGTCCAGAGGAGGGTAACTCAAATGACCAAGGGTCTGGAGAACAAGCCCTATGAGGAGCGGCTTAAGGAGCTGGGCATGTTTAGCCTGAAGAAGAGAAGGCTGAGAGGAGATATGATAGCCATGTATAAATATGTGAGAGGAAGCCACAGGGAGGAGGGAGCAAGCTTGTTTTCTGCTTCCCCAGAGACTAGGACGCAGGAGGAGGAAGAGTAAGAGGAGGACATGCACAAGAAGTGGAAAAAGGGAGAAATCACCAAAGAAGAATTCAAACAAATAGCCAACACCTGTAGGGAAAAGGTCTACAAGGCTAAAGCATAAAACGATTAGGACAAGGAACAATGGCTTCAAACTACAAGAGAGGAGATTCCATCTGAACATGAGGAAGAACTTCCTGACTGTGAGAGCCGTTCAGCAGTGGAACTCTCTGCCCTGGAGTGTGGTGGAGGCTCCTTCTTTAGCTTTTAAACAGAGGCTGGATGGCTATCTGTAAGGGGTGATTTGAATGCAATATTCCTGCTTCTTGGCAATTAGGGTTGGACTGGATGGCCCAGGAGGTCTCTTCCAACTCTTTGACTCTATGATTCTATCTGGCAACTCTCTCTCCTACTAATTGAAATAATCTTAAGTATCTTAAGTATTAACCAACCTCCATCCACAGCAAACAACAGGAATTTTAATACATTTTCCAACGAGGGAGACCCATTTCTCTTGTTTTCTTATCACTTCGTAACATCTGAAGTCTAACCTTGAGTCTCTTCCCTTGTCAGATGAAGGTTGGCAAGTCTTCCCCCATATTTTTCCATAACAATTACAATTGAAGAAGCAATATTTAACCTTTCGGTCAACCTGGAAACCCAATTTCTCACTTGAAGCTTTTTGTTCTATTTCAGTCATGTTCTTAATCAAAACAGCTGTTTCCTCTTTATTAATTCTGAATCCCTCTTCCTCCAAAACGAAAACCAATAATAAGAACCCGCTTCCTTCAAAATGAAAATCAAACTCCTGCCTGTATGCAGAGGATCTTCGGAGGATATCTCCAAATCCTCTTCAAATGCTTTTTAATTTATAGCCTGGACCTTTTCTATTAACTCCCTTGATGTCTTCTTCAGCAATTATTGCTCAAAGCACCCATCTGTCAGGACTGCTTTGGATGCCATTGTCCTGCTTCTTGGCAGAACGGGGTTGGACTGGATGGCCCTCGAGGTCTCTTCCAATTCTAGGATCCTATTATTCTACTAGCTGTCCCCTGCCAGGTGTTGCTGTGGCCCAGTCTGGGGATCTGGAAAATAAAGTAATGAGAAGGTGTTGGTTTCTAATATATGTAATGTCTTTCTGCTTGTGGGTAAACAGTATTTCTTGCTGTTTCTTTGTCAGTGTTGATGTGGAGAGTGTCTGGTTTGCCTACTCTGGAACATGCAACATATAATTGTCCTTCTTTAAGGGTCCCTTTCAAATCTAGGATACTATATCTCTCTGTGTGTGAATCATATCATATATCTATTTATATATATGTCTGGATGGCTCTTTGTCAGGAGGACTGGATGGCCTTAAGTATGGAGGTTCTGTGTGGGAAGTTTGCCCCAATTCTGCCATTGGTGGAGTTCAGCATGCTCTCTGATTGTACGCGAACTATAAATCCCAGTAACTACAACTCCCAAATGTCAAGGTCGATTTCCCCCAAACTCCATCTGTGTTCATATTTGGGCATATTGAGTATTCGTTCCAAGTTTTATCCGGATCCATCATTGTTTGAGTCCACAGTGCTCTCTGTAGGTGAACTACAACTCCCAAACTCAAGGTCAATGCCCACCAATCCCTTCTAGTGTTCTGTTGGTCATGGGAGTCCTGTGTGCCAAGTTTGGTTCAATTCCATCATTGGTGGAGTTCAGAATGCTCTTTGATTGTAGGTGAATTATAAATCCCAGAAACTACAACTCCTAAATGACAAAATCAATTTTTTTGAGTGAAAGACATACATTGGATTGTTAGGTGTATTGTGCCCAAATTTGGTGTCAATTCGTCCAGTGGTTTTTGAGTTCTGTGAATACCACAAACAAACATTACATTTTTATTTATATAGATTTAATACTTCTATCACCATTAAAAACAGCAATGCTGAAAGAGGACACCCTTGTCTAATTCCTTTCTGTATTTTACATGATTTTGTCGATTCGCCCTTAATCAGAATCTGAGCACTTTGCTTGCCATATTGCTTAATCCATTCTTGAAAATTTGGTCCAAAATTCATCTTCACTTTGAGAACCCCATAGGTGGACAATGCACATTATCAAATGCCTTTTCTGCATCTAAAAAGATCAAATCAACCTGTTTTCCATTACGGTCATCATAGTTTTCTATTTATTCTTGATGCACAGTACACCTAGGATGACTATTTACATGCCTATTTGGCAAGAATAATACTTCATCCTCATGTTTTAAAGTTTGTAAAACTTTTCTCAGTCTCTCTGATAAAATTTCAGCAAATGTCTTGCAATCTTGGTTCAAACTCTGTTCTGTAACAACTAGGCTTGGGCGGTTTCGTTCGTTAATTTCGTAATTCGTTATTAATTCGTATTTAAATTAGCTTACGATCCAATATTGAGCCATGCAGGAATAGTGTGAGGAGTAATTAAGATTCGAAACAATTTTTTTCAATTTATTTCGTAATTATTTTGAAATTATTTCGTAATTATTTCGTAATTATTTTCGCATGTCTGGTGCAAGTTTTATAGTTGTTGTTTGTTTTATCACACCAACAGTCAACAACAGAGGGAGAGGGAAGCTTCAGAAGTTCCTCCTGTCCCATTTGGAGGTTTTTTTAGCATATTGCGCAATCTCGTCCGCCATTAACGAATCGATTCGTAATTTTACGAAATTTCGTAAATTTCGAAATTTTTTAAAGGAAAATTTCGGAATTATTTAAAAAAAATGAAACGCAAGGGCCCCCTAAAAACAAAACGAGTTTAGAACCAAATTTTTCCGTGGTTACCCAAGCCTAGTAAACATGTACTGGAATATTTGGCCCCACCCACTGTGCTGGACATACATTGGACTTGGTTTTCTGTCAGGGATGGGAGCAGGGTGGCGGTGTGGAGGAGTTATCCATCTCTCCGTTGCCATGGACTGACCACTTCCTGATCAGATTTAGGCTCACTGTGCCCCCCAACCTCTGCAAAGGTGGAGGACCCATTAAGATGGTCCGCCCCAGGAGGCTTATGGATCCGAATGGATTCCTGACGGCTCTTGGGGATTTTCCCGCCACCTCGGTAGGTGACCATGTCGAGGCCTTGGTCGCTCTCTGGAATGGGGAGATGGCCAGGGCAATTGACATGATCGCTCCGGAACGTCCCCTCTCAAGTAGCCGAGCTAAACCAGCTCCTTGGTTCACTGAGGAGCTGGCAGTGATGAAGCGAAGGAAGAGGGAACTAGAGAGCATGTGGCGTTCGGAGCCGAGCGAGTCAAACCGAACACGGTTTGTGTCCTTTTTAAGGGCATATGCCGCGGCAATAAAAGCCGCAAAGAAAACTTTCTTTGCGGCCACTATTGCGTCTGCAAGGAACCGTCCGGCGGAGTTGTTCCGGGTTGTCAGAGGTCTGTTAACTCCCGCCACCTCAGGCGGGAGCCCTGACAATTCGGCCACGCGCTGTGAAGCATTTGCTCGGTTCTTTGCAGACAAAGTCGCCTTGATCCGTTCTGAGCTGGACACCATGTTAAATGCAGTCTCTGTGGATGTGACACGAGCACCTGCTTGTCCTATTTTGATGGATTCTTTTCAGTTTGTGAAGCCCGAGGATGTGGACAAGATACTTGGAGGAATGAGGCCCACCACGTCCATCCTAGACCCCTGCCCATCCTGGCTACTGAAGGAGGCCAGAGGGGGATTGGCTGAGTGGGTAACGGTGGTGGTTAATGCCTCCCTCCGGGAAGGCAAGATTCCAGCGAGCTTAAAACAAGCTATTATAAAACCGCTGTTGAAGAAACCATCATTAGACCCCACTAAATTTGACAACTTTCGGCCTGTTTCCAATCTCCCCTTTTTGGGCAAAGTCATGGAAAGCGTGGTGGCCTCACAACTCCAGGTATTCTTGAGAGACACGGATTATCTGGATTCTGCACAGTCTGGTTTCAGACCGGGACATGGAACTGAGACGGTCTTGGTCGCCTTAGTGGATGATCTGCGCCGGGAGCTAGACAGGGGGAGTGTGTCCCTGTTGGTGCTCCTGGACCTCTCAGCGGCCTTCGATACCGTCGACCACGGTATCCTTCTGAGGCGCCTTGCGGAAATGGGCCTTGGGGGCACTGTTTTGCAGTGGCTCCGGTCATTTCTGGAGGGTCGCACCCAGAAGGTGTTATTGGGGGACACCTGTTCGACACCACAGCCTTTGACCTGTGGGGTTCCACAGGGCTCTATATTGTCCCCCATGCTTTTTAACATCTACATGAAGCCGCTGGGCGAGATCATCCGGAGTTTCGGGGTGCAGTGTCATCTGTACGCAGATGATGTCCAACTCTGTCACTCCTTCCCACCTGCTACTAAGGAGGCTGTCGAGGTCCTGAACCGGTGCCTGGCCGCTGTAACGGTCTGGATGAGGGCGAACAAACTGAAATTAACTCCAGACAAGACAGAGGTACTCCTGGTCAGTCGCAAGGCCGAACAGGGTATAGGGTTACAGCCTGTGCTGGATGGGGTCGCACTCCCCTTGAAGGCGCAGGTTCGCAGCTTGGGTGTGATCCTGGATTCATCGTTGAGCCTGGATCCCCAGGTTTCAGCGGTGACCAGGGGAGCATTTGCACAGCTTCGGCTCGTGCGCCAGCTGCGCCCGTACCTCGGGAAGTCTGACTTGGCCACGGTGGTACACGCTCTGGTCACAGCCCGCCTTGATTACTGCAACGCTCTCTACGTGGGGCTGCCCTTGAAGACGGCCCGGAAGCTTCAGCTAGTCCAGCGCGCGGCAGCCATGTTACTAACAGGAGCGGGACACAGGGAGCACACAACGCCCTTGTTGTTCCAGCTCCACTGGCTGCCGATCTGCTACCGGGCCCAATTCAAGGTGCTGGTGCTGGCCTACAAAGCCCTAAACGGTTCCGGCCCAAAATACCTTTCTGACCGCATCTCGGCCTATGAGCCCACGAGGACCTTGAGATCGTCTGGGGAGGCCCTTCTCTCGATCCCGCCTGCCTCACAGGCACGTTTGGCGGGGACGAGAGATAGGGCCTTCTCGGTGGTGGCGCCCCGGCTATGGAGCACCCTCCCTGTGGACATCAGACAGGCGCCCTCCCTTATGTCATTCCGCAAGAGCTTAAAGACATGGCTATTCGAGCAGGCATTCAATTAACTGCTACAACAATTGGCTGGATGACTGGAACGGAATATGGAATACGAGATTGGTTTATGATTCTAAGATGAGACGACGCGGATGATTTAGAGTAATTATTGTTGTATTATTGATGTTACGTGTATACTGTGTTGTTTGAGGGTCTTATTGTAAACTGTTTTTTATATGTTGTACACCGCCGTGAGTCGCCCAAAAGGGCTGAGAACGGCGGTCAACAAATGCAATAAATAAATAAATAAATGTTTGCAATGTATTCCTTGGCGGGCCTTGCAGGTGATGCTGACCGGTGCCGACGAGCGCTTGCGTAGGGCCGAGGGTCAGCTGGACGCCATCTTCTCCCGCCTGAACGACTTCCAGACCCACGTCCACCGGGCTCTGGCCAACCTCTCTCGGGACGTAGGGGCCCTGAAGGACAGCAGCATCCAGCAGCAAGGGGCCCTGGACCGGATCCGTAGCAGTGTCCACACCTGCACCCAAATCTGCTCTGCGCCGGGCAGCCAGGACTCCCAGATCAGCGACATCCTGAGCGACTTGGAGCGGCGGGTGCTGGACAATGAGGGTCAGCTGCGGCTCCTGGGCTCCAGCCTCCACCAGCTGGACGTCTCAGGGAAGCTCCGACAGTTGCACGGCTTGGTGGGGGCCAATAGCGATGGCTTGAGCAAGCTGGCCGGAGAGGTGGGTGAGTTGGAGACCCGGTTGGTGGTCTCGGGGAGCGCTGGGCCGCCGGATCTGGCCCGCTATGCCAACCGCACAAACCGGCGGCTGGAGAGGCTGGAGCAGGAGGTGGAGAGCCTGGGGTCCTGCTCCATCCTGCGCAGTGAGGTGGACCAACTGCGGGTGCAAGTGGAGTCCTGCCAGGCAGCCTGCTACCCAGGTGGGAGGAGGTCGGACCCTCTGGCTGGCAGTGGAGGAGAGCAGCTACCCACACCGCCGTCTCCGCCGGAGGAGGCCTCCAAACCCCTGGACGGCTTCAGTGTCATCGGAGGTGTTTCTGGGGTCCACCTGCGGTCCCTACAAGGAGAACTCTCAGAGGTGATCCTGGGCTTCAGCGCCCTGAACGAGTCACTGGCCGGGCTGCAGGCTACGGTGGAGAAGCACCAGACGGACCTCCACGAGCTGGGCGGCACCAAGGACCGTATCATCGCTGAGATCAACCGAGTGCAGCAGGAGGTGACGGAGCACGTGAGCGAGAGCGAGGAGAGATTCCGTGACCTGGGCCACGAAGTCCAGCGCTTTGGGGTCATCCTGCGGACGGAGACCTCCGACTGCCGGCAGTCTTCTGGGGGCCTGGCGGAGCGGCTGGCCAAGTTGGAGGGCTCCTGCGAGAAGCTAGACAAGGTCTCAGGGACCCTGCGGAAGGTCAAGGAGGGGCTGGACAAACACCTCACGGCCCTCTGGGGCTGCCTGCGTGACACCAACGGGACCCTGCGCCTCCACGAGGCCCTCCTGGACAAGATCCACGGGAACCAGCTGCCCACCGTCCACCGGCGCCTCAGCAGCCTCAACGGGTCTTTCCAGGCTCTGCAGGAGGAGCTCCGGATCCTCTCCCTCCAGGACTTCACAGGTCAGGGGCTGAGACGGGGAAGCGGGAACAAAGGAGGAACTATAGGCAGATGGAGAGATGGAAGAGAAGAAAGGAACGAAAGAAATGGAAAGAGGGAGAGGGAGAAGGGGTTCAGATGGGTGTCTGGGTGGAAGGAAGGACATATGGAGTGGGAGAGAGGAAGGGATGGAGCAAGGATTGAAGGGAGGGAAGGAAGGAAGGGAGAGGAAAGAGAGGGAAGTGAAGAAAGGAGAGAGGAAAGAGGGAGGGAAGCAGGAAGTAGAGAAGGAAGGAAGGGGGAGGGAAGATAGGGGAGGAAGAAGGAGCAGAGAGAAGAATGGGAACAAGAGAGAGAAGGAAGGAAAGGGGAAGGAAGGAAGGAAGGAAGGAAGGAAGGAAGGAAGGAAGGAAGGAAGGAAGGAAGGAGAGAAGAGAGGCTGATTGGTGGTGGATGGATTGAAGAAAGGAGGGTGGAAGATGGAGGCAGGGAAAGGAAAGCAATGAAGAGAAGGAAGGAGAGAGGGAGGGAGGGAGGGAAGAGGAGAGGGAAGTGAGGGAAGTGAGGAAAGGAGGGAGGGAAGTGAGAAGTAAGGAAGGAAGAGGGAGGGAAGATAGGGAAGGAAAAGGAGCAGAGAGAAGAAAGGGAACAAGGGAGAGAAGGAAGGAAAGGGGAGGAAGGAAGGAATTGAGGAAGGAAGGAAGGAAGGAAGGAAGGAAGGAAGGAAGGAAGGAAGGAAGGAGAGAAGAAGAGAGGCTGATTGGTGGTGGATGGATTGAAGAAAGGAGGGTGGAAGATGGAGGAAGTGAGAGAGAGAAGGGGGAAAGAGGGGGAAAAGAAAGGGGGGAGGGAGGAAAGAAGGAGAGGCTGATTAGTGGTAGATGGATAGAAGAAAGGAGGGTGGGAAATTGAGGGATGGGGAAAGGAGAAGGAAGGAAAGAAGAGCAGAGAGAAGGAAAGGGAAGGAAGGAATGAATTGAGGAAGGAAGGAAGGAAGGAAGGAAGGAAGGAAGGAAGGAAGGAGGAGAAGAAGGAGAGGCTGATGGGTGGTGGATGGATAGAAGAAAGGAGAGTGGGAAATGGAGGGATGGGGAAAGGAGAAGGAAGGAAAGAAGAGCAGAGAGAAGGAAAGGGAAGGAAGGAATGAATTGAGGAAGGAAGGAAGGAAGGAAGGAAGGAAGGAAGGAAGGAAGGAGGAGAAGAAGGAGAGGCTGATGGGTGGTGGATGGATAGAAGAAAGGAGAGTGGGAAATGGAGGGATGGGGAAAGGAGAAGGAAGGAAAGAAGAGCAGAGAGAAGGAAAGGGAAGGAAGGAATGAATTGAGGAAGGAAGGAAGGAAGGAAGGAAGGAAGGAGGAGAAGAAGGAGAGGCTGATGGGTGGTGGATGGATAGAAGAAAGGAGGGTAGAAGGTGAGGCAGGAGAAGGGAAGCCATGAAGAGAAGGAGGGAGGGAGAGAAGGGGGAAGTATAGAAGGAGGGAAGGAAAGATAGGGAAGGAAAGTAAGGAAGTGAGAGAAGGAGTGAGAGGGAAAGAGGGAAGGAAGAAAGGGAGGGAAGGAGAGAAGAAGGAGAAGCTGATGAGTGGAAGATGGATAGAAGAAAGGAGGGTGGGAAATGGAGGGAGGGGAAGGGAAGCAATGAAGAGAAGGAAGGAAGGAGAGAAGGGGGAGGGAGGGAGGGGGAAGTATAGAAGGAAGGAAGTGAAAGATAGGGAAGGAATGGAAGGAAGCGAGAGAGAGAGAGAAGCAGGAAAGAGGGGAGGAAGAAAAGGAGACGGAGAAAAGAAGGAGAGGGCAATGAGTGGTAGATGGATCGAAGAAAGGAGGGTGGGAGATGGAGGGAGGGGAAATGGGAAGGAAGGTAGGAAGGTAGGTATATGGTCAGAGGGAGGGAAGGGGCAATAACAAAAGAAGGGAAGGATGGAGGAAAGAGGGAGACAGACAGAGAAGGAGGAAGGGATGGACGCCCGTGACTCTGATCCGGGAATTCAGGGTCCAGGAAAGGTCCCTTCCTGTAACTGCTTCCTTTTCCTCCTCCCCTTCAGGACCCCCAGGACTGCCAGGACCAATGGGACCCATGGGGAGACCGGGGCTCCCAGGCCCAATGGGCCCCCCTGGGAAAGATGGAAGCACGGGCTTCGTGGGACCCCCAGGTGAGAAGCTGGCAGTTTTTGCATGACCCTCAATGATGATTTGGGGGGGGGGTCTCTTGGGTCCCTAATAGGATTGGGAAGGGGCATCATCTGTAGAACGTTTGCTCTTGGCCTCATAGGATGCCTTCTCCTCCATAGAAAAGTGCGGTAGGGGGATGTATCAGGATCTCCTCTTCATAAGTTGTGAATTGGGGTCTGTATGGGAGGGCAATGGGTCCTGGATGCATTCCCCAATAATGCCTCCCTCCCATGGTGGGTCCCCCAAATGCTCCCCATCCTCCTATAGGAGACTGGCTCATGGGACACTCTTTTCTCTTACAGGTCTCCCCGGAGAGCAAGGTAACAGACTTTGGTATTTGTTGGAAAGGGTTTTATTTGGGGGGGGGGGGGGCTAAACCCTCGATTGGTGGGGTATTTTGCAGGCAAAGAAAGGAGCAGGCCTGGATGATAGTGTGCGTGTGTGGGGGGGGGGATCATTCCATTCCTCATGGCCATGAAAAAGGGAGAGACGCGTGTGGCATGTCATGCCCGTGATATGGAATTTAGACCACTTACAATGAGGGAGTCTGCCTGGCAAGCATTGCTAACCAAAATTAATAACCAAATTTCCAGATTAAAGACTCACCAGGAAGCAAACACAGAGGCATTTTAATGCATAGATGCAGGTGGGCTCCTGCCCAAAAGTACAAGCATAACCCCTACTTCAGGCGGGAGCCCTGACAACTCGGCCACGCGCTGTGAAGCATTTGCTCGGTTCTTTGCAGACAAAGTCGCTTTGATCCGTTCTGGGCTGGACGCCACATTAAATGCAGTCTCCGTGGATGTGACACAAGCACCTGCTTGTCCTATTTTGATGGATTCTTTTCAGTTTGTGAAACCCGAGGATGTGGACAAGATACTTGGAGGAATGAGGCCTACCACGTCCATCCTAGACCCCTGCCCATCCTGGCTTCTGAAAGAGGCCAGAGGGGGATTGGCTGAGTGGGTAACGGTGGTGGTTAATGCCTCCCTTCGGGAAGGCACGATTCCAGCGAGCCTAAAACAGGCTATTATAAAGCCGCTGTTGAAGAAACCATCACTGGACCCCACCAAATTTGACAACTTTCGGCCTGTTTCCAATCTTCCCTTCTTGGGCAAAGTCATGGAAAGCGTGGTGGCCTCACAACTCCAGGTATTCTTGAGAGACACGGATATTCTGGATCCGGCACAGTCTGGTTTCAGACCGGGACATGGTACTGAGACGGTCTTGGTCGCCTTAGTGGATGATCTCCGCCGGGAGCTAGACAGGGGGAGTGTGTCCCTGTTGGTGCTCCTGGACCTCTCAGCGGCCTTCGATACCGTCGACCACGGTATTCTTCTGGGACGCCTTGCAGAGATGGGTCTTGGGGGCACCGCTTTGCGGTGGCTCCAGTCATTTCTGGAGGGTCGTACCCAGAAGGTGTTGTTGGGGGACTCCTGCTCAACACCACAGCCGTTGACATGTGGTGTTCCTCAGGGCTCCATACTGTCCCCCATGCTGTTTAACATCTACATGAAGCCGCTGGGTGAGATCATCCGGAGTTTCGGGGTGCGGTGTCACCTGTACGCAGATGACGTCCAACTCTGTCACTCCTTCCCACCTGCTACTAAGGAGGCTGTCGAAGTCCTGAACCGGTGCCTGGCCGCTGTGACGGTCTGGATGAGGGCGAACAAACTGAAATTAAATCCAGACAAGACAGAGGTACTCCTGGTCAGTCGCAAGGCCGAGCAGGGTATAGGGTTACAGCCTGTGCTGGACGGGGTCGCACTCCCCTTGAAGGCGCAGGTTCGCAGCTTGGGTGTGACCCTGGACTCATCGCTGAGCCTGGAGCCCCAGGTTTCAGCGGTGACCAGGGGAGCATTCGCACAGCTTAGGCTTGTGCGCCAGCTGCGCCCGTATCTTGGGAAGTCTGACTTGGCCACGGTGGTACACGCTCTTGTCACATCCCGCCTCGACTACTGCAACGCTCTCTACGTGGGGCTGCCCTTGAAGACGGCCCGGAAGCTTCAGCTAGTCCAGCGCGCGGCAGCCATGTTACTAACAGGAGCGGGACGCAGGGAGCACACAACGCCCTTGTTGTTCCAGCTCCACTGGCTGCCGATCTGCTACCGGGCCCAATTTAAGGTGCTGGTGTTATCCTACAAAGCCCTAAACGGTTCCGGCCCAAAATACCTTGCAGACCGCATCTCGGCCTACGAGCCCACGAGGACCTTGAGATCATCTGGGGAGGCCCTCCTCTCGGTCCCGCCTGCCTCTCAGGCACGCCTGGCGGGGACGAGAGAGCGGGCCTTCTCGGTGGTGGCCCCCCGGCTATGGAACTCCCTCCCTGCTGAAATAAGACAGGCGCCTTCCCTCATGGCCTTCCGCAAGGGCCTGAAAACCTGGCTCTTCGAAAAGGCCTTCAATTAAGTGCTATGTTTTTGGAATGATTACCGGAATGGACCATGACTACGAGACTGCTTATGACCCCAAACAAGACGAAGCGGATTTTTAGTTTAATTAGTTGTGTACTCGTAAGATGTTGTGTTATGATCTCGATTTATTGTAAACTGTTGTCTTCTCTATGTTCTATGTTTTGTACACCGCCACGAGTCGCCCCTGGGCTGAGAGTGGCGGTTAACAAGTGCAAATAATAAATAAATAATAAATAAATAACCCACAAGGGGTGTGCAAAATATTTTTATACAACCAAATTATGAATCCGTATGGAAACTGGGGAGGGGGTGCAGGCTTTGTTCCCCATCACTGGAACCCATGCAAAGGAATCAGATTGGTTTCCAGGGCTGTAGGTCTGAGCTGAGGAAGTGGGGAGGGGTCCTCAGACAACACCCCCTTCCCACCTTGATCGCTTCTGTCTTTTCAGGGCTGCCTGGTCCAGCGGGAAGAATGGCGCAAGTCTCCTTCTCGGCCGCACTGACCTCCCGCCATGTTGAGGCGGGCACCATTGTCTTTGACCGGGTGCTGGTCAACGATGGGGACTTCTATGACCCACACACAGGTCAGTAGTCGGTTGTCGGGCTCTGCCTGGAAATGTGGGCAGAGTTTAACCAAAGCAACACCCAGTTTGTGTCGAAAACCGTTTCACTGTAAGCAGTAATTTAAACACTTCAGTCTCTTCAATGTCCGATTACAAAACCTCAATAATAATAATAACAACAACAACAATCGCAACATGCACACTTGCTTTACACTGACAAGGGTTCCTCCTCCCACCCTGGACATTCCTCAGATAGATAGATAGATAGATAGATAGATAGATAGATAGATAGATAGACACATGCACTCCACTGTTGTTATTATTATTGAGGTTCAATGGCCATCTGTCAAGGGGGATTAAACGGTGCTTTTCCTCCATGATGGCAGAAAAGGGTTGGATTGGATGGCAAGTGTTATGTACTATTGTGTTATGTACAGATAGAATCATAGAATCAAAGAGTTGGAAGAGACCTCCTGGGCCATCCAGTCCAACCCCATTCTGCCAAGAAGCAGGAATATTGCATTCAAATCACCCCTGACAGATGGCCATCCAGCCTCTGTTTAAAAGCTTCCAAAGAAGGAGCCTCCACCACACTCCGGGGCAGAGAGTTCCACTGCTGAACAGCTCTCACAGTCAGGAAGTTCTTCCTCATGTTCAGATGGAATCTCCTCTCTTGTAGTTTGAAGCCATTGCTCCATTGTGTCCTAGTCTCCAAGGAAGCAGAAAACAAGCTTGCTCCCTCCTCCCTGTGGCTTCCTCTCACATATTTATACATGGCTATCATATCTCCTCTCAGCCTTCTCTTCTTCAGGCTAAACATGCCCAGCTCCTTAAGCTGCTCCTCATAGGACTTGTTCTCCAGACCCTTGATCATTTTAGTCGCCCTCCTCTGGACACATTCCAGCTTGTCAATATCTCTCTTGAATTGTGGTGCCCAGAATTGGACACAATATTCCAGGTGTGGTCTAACCAAAACAGAATAGAGCATGGGGAGCATGACTTCCTTAGATCTAGACACCATGCTCCTATTGATGCAGGCCAAAATCCCATTGGCTTTTTTTGCCGCCACATCACATTGTTGGCTCATGTTTAACTTGTTGTCCACGAGGACTCCAAGATCTTTTTCACACGTACTGCTCTCGAGCCAGGCATTGTCCCCCATTCTGTATCTTTGCATTTCGTTTTTTCTGCCTAAGTGGAGTATCTTGCATTTGTCCCTGTTGAACTTCATTTTGTTAGTTTTGGCCCATTTCTCTAATCTGTCAAGATTGTTTTGAATCCTGCTCCTGTCCTCTGGAGTATTGGCTATCCCTCCCAATTTGGTGTCGTCTGCAGGTCCTGTTCAACATCTATATTAATGACTTAGATGAAGGGCTAGAAGGCAGGATCATCAAGTTTGCAGACGACACCAAATTGGGAGGGATAGCCAATAGCCCAGAGGACAGGAGCAGAATTCAAAACGATCTTGACAGATTAGAGAGATGAATGGCCAAAACTAACAAAATGAAGTTCAACAGGGACAAATGCAAGATACTCCACTTTGGCAGAAAAAATGAAATGCAAAGATACAGAATGGGTGACGCCTGGCTCGAGAGCAGTACGTGTGAAAAAGATCTTGGAGTCCTCGTGGACAACAAGTTAAACATGAGCCAACAATGTGATGTGGCGGCAAAAAAAGCCAATGGGATTTTGGCCTGCATCAATAGGAGCATAGTGTCTAGATCTAAGGAAGTGATGCTACCCCTCTATTCTGCTTTGGTTAGACCACATCTGGAATATTGTGTCCAATTCTGGGCACCACAATTCAAGAGAGATATTGACAAGCTGGAATGTGTCCAGAGGAGGGCGACTAAAATGATCAAGGGTCTGGAGAACAAGCCCTATGAGGAGCGGCTTAAGGAGCTGGGCATGTTTAGCCGGAAGAAGAGAAGGCTGAGAGGAGATATGATAGCCATGTATAAATATGTGAGAGGAAGCCACAGAGAGGAGGGAACAAGCTTCCTTTCTGCTTCCCTGGAGACTAGGACGCAATGGAACAATGGCTTCAAACTACAAGAGAGGAGATTCCATCTGAACATTAGGAAGAACTTCCTGTGAGAGCCATTCAGCAGTGGAACTCTCTGCCCCGGAGTGTGGTGGAGGCTCCTTCTTTGGAAGCTTTTAAGCAGAGGCTGGATGGCCATCTGTCAGGGGTGATTAGAATGCAATATTCCTGCTTCTTGGCAGAATGGGGTTGGACTGGATGGCCCATGAGGTCTCTTCCAACTCTTTGATTCTATGATTCTATGATTCTATGTATGTATATGTGACATAGGCATCGAATTGTGCCTTCTTTTGTAAGCCGCCCTGAGTCCCCCCTCGGGGATGAGAAGGGTGGGGTAGAAGTAACTGAAATAAATAATAAATAAGTGTGGTCTTTTCCAACTCTAATAATAGTAATAAATAATAAACTTTATTTATAGCCCGCCACCATCTCCCCGAAAGGCTAACATGAGGCCGAGCCCAAAATTTACAATGCAGCAAAATAAAATACAAAAGAACGGAAAAATTACATCACAACAAAATACATAAAGTAGCAAAATAAAATAAACAGTGCAAAATAACATAATAAAAGTTAAACACAAATTATTATTATTATTAAGAATATTTAGTATTATTATTATTATTATTATTAATAAATATTATTATATTACTATTATTAGTCTGGGTGGCCATTTATCGGGGGGATTACATAGTGCTTATAAATATTATTATATTACTATTATTAGTCTGGATGGCCATCTATGGGGGGGGGATTAGATAGTGCTTTTCCTGCATGAAGGTAGAAAGGGGTTGGAATAAATGCAGTCTCCTTTCAACTCTATTATTATTGATGTTGTTGTTGTTGTTGTTGTTATTATTATTATTATTATGAGGCTGGGTGGCCATCTGTGAGGGGGATTAGATTGTGCTTTTCCTGCATGAAGACAGAATGGGGTTGGACTAGATGGCCATTAGGTCTCTTCTGACTCAATGATTCTATGCTCTTCTTCCCCAGGGATCTTCACCGCTCCCATCTCCGGCCGCTACGTGGTCAGCGCGGTGCTGACCGGCCACCGTGGTGAGAAGATCGAGGCGGTGCTGTCACGCTCCAACCAGGCCATTGCCCGCAGCGACTCAGCCGGCTACCAACCCGAAGGCCTGGAGAACAAGCCGGTGGCCGAGAGACAGCCCAGCGCAGGAGCCCTGGCCGTCTTTGCCCTGGTGGTCCCCATGGAGGCCGAGGAGACCCTCTGCGTGGACTTGGTCTCCGGTCAGCTGGCCCACTCCCCGGACGAGCCCCTGACCGTCTTCAGCGCGGCTTTACTTTACGAGGACGGGATCTAGTCGGGTTAGCTGGGCACCAAAGCAGAAGACAGGGGCACCTTTGGGAGAGGCTTTAAACCACGCGTGGGCCAACTTCGCCTCTCCTTCCAGATGTTTTGGACGTCAACTCCTACAACTCCTAAGAGCTGGTTGATGTATGTCCAAAAGACCTGGAAGGAGGGCCGAAGTTGGCCCATGCCTGTTGAATACAATAATAAAACACTCTGATATCTCCAGTTACAGAATTGGATCTCCTCAGACAGGTGTGGTGGATTTCTGCAGGTATAAAAGTTGTGGCCTCCATGTTGGTTGTTGTTGGAGTGGAGAGAGAGAACCCGTGAAGTCTGTATATCTGGTATATGCTGTGTATATATATATTGGTGCAACTAAGAAGAGTGGAAAAATAGGCTTATCTTTGGAAAGATCGACCATTTGTCTGTGTTATTTCCTGCAGACGTCCACCACACCTGTCTGATTGTATTTGGTTCCACAACTGGAGTTATTACAGTCTCGTTGTGTTTTGTTATTGTATAATGCCTCCGACAAGCATGGCTTCCCTCAACCTTTTCGTTCCCATTAAAAGAACATTAAAGGAGATTTTTCCAGGTGGGCATAAAGCAGACTCTGATTCACCTCTGAATCCTCAGGCCAGCCTTATGGGAACTGTTTTGGAAACCAACCCATCATTTTGGGATTTTAGTAAATCGCAAGCGGAACAAGCCAACAGTGCGATACAGCCGGTAGAAAATGTGATCCTGGGTGGAGGGAAGTCACAAATCCACGCTCGTCTTCTGCTTTGGCCAGGCGTCTTCGCCTGGAATTGTAGCTCTGTGTCTGAGCAAAGCCATTCGAGGAAGAAATAGACCGTAAGATGGAAGGTGTCCACAGAAAATGGTCCAAAGTTTGGAAACCACGACTCCATTAATCCTAGGGAAGTCACAAATCCACACTTGTCTTCTGCTTTGGCCTGGCCTCTTCGCCTGGAATTATAGCTCTGTGTCTGAGCAAAGCCATTCGAGGAAGAAATAGACTGTAAGATAGAAGGTGTCCACAGAAAATGGTCCAAAGTTTGGAAACCACGACTCCATTAATCCTAGGGAAGTCACAAATCCACGCTCGTCTTCTGCTTTGGCCAGGTCTTCGCCTGGAATTGCAGCTCTGTGTCCGAGCAAAGCCATTCGAGGAAGAAATAGACCGTAAGATGGAAGGTGTCCACAGAAAATGGTCCAAAGCTTGGAAACCACAACTCCATTAATCCTAGGGAAGTCACAAATCCACACTTGTCTTGTGCTTTGGCCAGGCGTCTTCACCTGGAATTATGGCTTTGTGTCCGAGCAAAGCCATTCGAGGAAGAAATAGACCGTAAGATAGAAGGTGTCCACAGAAAATGGTCCAAAGCTTGGAAACCATGACTCCATTAATCCTAGGGAAGTCACAAATCCACACTCGTCTTCTGCTTTGGCCAGGCGTCTTCGCCTGGAATTGTAGCTCTGTGTCTGAGCAAAGCCATTCGAGGAAGAAATAGACCGTAAGATGGAAGGTGTCCACAGAAAATGGTCCAAAGCTTGGAAACCACAACTCCATTAATCCTAGGGAAGTCACAAATCCACGCTCGTCTTCTGCTTTGGCCAGGCGTCTTCGCCTGGAATTATAGCTCTGTGTCCGAGCAAAGCCATTCGAGGAAGAAATAGACCGTAAGATAGAAGGTGTCCACAGAAAATGGTCCAAAGTTTGGAAACCATGACTCCATTAATCCTAGGGAAGTCACAAATCCACGCTCGTCTTCTGCTTTGGCCAGGCGTCTTCGCCTGGAATTGCAGCTCTGTGTCCGAGCAAAGCCATTTCGAGGAAGAAATAGACCGTAAGACGGAAGGTGTCCACAGAAAATGGTCCAAGTTTTGGAAGCCATTAATCCTTCTGCAGTGGAAGGAACTTGTTATGTTTACCTTGGAGAAAAGGTTGAGAGAAAGGACATGAGAGCCACGTTGATGTATCTGCAAGGATGTCCCATTGAAAGGAAGCGGGGAATGTTTGTTCTTGTTCTTTTCTGCTCCAGGACACAACGGAGCAATGCGTTACAACACTTGGGACTCTTTTACTATTAGAGCTGTGGAAAGGGAGCCTAGAGGAGCCTTCATTCCAGAGGTTGGGTGGGCATCTGTTGGGAGGGCTTTCATTGTGTCTTGAGCCCCTGGTGGCGCAGTGGGTTAAAGCGCTGAGCTGCTGAGCTTGTTGACTGAAAGGTTGCAGGTTTGATTCCGGGGAGCGGCGTGAGCTCCCGCTGTCAGCCCCAGCTGCTGCCAACCTAGCAGTTCGAAAACATGCAGATGTGAGTAGATCAATATGTACTACTCTGGCTGGAAGGTAAGGGTGCTCCATGCAGACATGCCAGTGGCCACATGACCTTGGAGGTGTCTACGGACAACGCCGGCTCTTCAGCTTAGAAATGGAGATGAGCACCAGAGTCGGACACAACTAGGGAAAACCTTTACCTTTACCTTTACCTGCTGCCTTGCAGAAAGAAAGGGGCTGGACTAGATGGTCTTTGGGGGTCCCTCCCGGCTCTCTTGAGCTTATGATGCCCTATGCCTGCTGGCATCATCCCCAGACCCTCCTTTGCCCTGAGATGGCTTTGTGCTACCCTCATGCTCATGTGCAACTAAGGTGGTACATCCAGAGGGGGAGATGTGGATGCAGAGCGAGAGAGAGCAAGTGCATCCTTTCTGTTATTTATCCCTTTGCCGTACACTCTCTGTCCGTCTCCCTCCGGCCACTGCCCCACTGACCGCTGGCTTGAGCCTTGCGCACGCTTTGCCACTGCTGGGGCGGCCCCCAAAGTCACGCCAACCAGCCACGGAAAGACACGGAGGAAACCTTTGGTGGAGACAAGAGTCAAAGGGAGCAGCGGGATGAAAGAAGGACCTTGTGGTTTACTCCTCCTCCTGTATCCACTGCCTCAAGGGCCAACCTTTGCTACAGGTATGCCGACTGAATAAAGAAACACCTTTCCTTTTTTTATAAACATGGCGTCGAGAGTCTCTTTTCATCCCAGCTTGCGGTGGATCTTCTACATCAGGCCTGGGCAAACTTTGGCCTTCCCTCCAGGTGTTTTGGATTTCAAACTCCCACAATTCCTAACAGCAAGAAGACTGCTGTGAGTTTTCTCACGCTATATAATAATAATAATAATAATAATAATAATAATAATAATAATGGGTTGTTGTAGGTTTTTTCGGAGAACAAGCCCTATGAGGAGCGGCTTAAGGAGCTGGGCATGTTTAGCTTGAAGAAGAGAAGGCTGAGAGGAGATATGATAGCCACGTATAAATATGTGAGAGGAAGCCACAGGGAGGAGGGAGCAGATCTAGGGTCTGGAGAACAAGCCCTATAAGGAGTGGCTTAAGGAGCTGGGCATGTTTGGCCTGAAGAAGAGAAGGCTGAGAGGAGATATGATAGCCACGTATAAATATGTGAGAGGAAGCCACAGGGAGGAGGAGGGAGCAGATCAAGGGTCTGGAGAACAAGCCCTATGAGGAGTGGCTTAAGGAGCTGGGCATGTTTAGCCTGAAGAAGAGAAGGCTGAGAGGAGATATGATAGCCATGTATAAATATGTGAGAGGAAGCCACAGGGAGGAGGGAGCAGATCAGGGGTCTGGAGAACAAGCCCTATGAGGAGCGGCTTAAGGAGCTGGGCATGTTTAGCCTGAAGAAGAGAAGGCTGAGAGGAGATATGATAGCCATGTATAAATATGTGAGAGGCAGCCACAGGGAGGAGGGAGCAGATCTAGGGTCTGGAGAACAAGCCCTATGAGGAGCGGCTTAACGAGCTGGGCATGTTTAGCCTGAAGAAGAGAAGGCTGAGAGGAGATATGATAGCCATGTATAAATATGTGAGAGGAGCCACAGGGAGGAGGGAGCAGATCTAGGGTCTGGAGAACAAGCCCTATGAGGAGCGGCTTAAGGAGCTGGGCATGTTTAGCCTGAAGAAGAGAAGGCTGAGAGGAGATATGATAGCCATGTATAAATATGTGAGAGGAAGCCACAGGGAGGAGGGAGCAAGCTTGTTTTCTGCTGTCCTGGAGACTAGGACGCAATGGAACAATGGCTTCAAACTACAAGAGAGGAGATTCCATCTGAACATGAGGAAGAACTTCCTGACTGTGAGAGCCGTTCAGCAGTGGAACTCTCTGCCCCGAGGAGTGTGGTGGAGGCTCCTTCTTTGGAAGCTTTTAAGCAGAGGCTGGATGGCCATCTGTCAGGGGTGATTTGAATGCAATATTCCTGCTTCTTGGCAGAGGGGTTGGACTGGTTGGCCCAGGAGGTCTCTTCCAACTCTTTGATTCTATGATTCTATGATATGACCATGTTCTAGAGGCATTCTCTCCTGACATTTCGCCTCCATCTATGGCAAGCATCCTCAGGGGTAGTGAGACCTTTGTTGAGAGGTGATTAGTAGGCCTGGTCAATCCATGGTTCAAAATGGTTCTAAACTACTTACGAAACTGAAGTTCTGGTGGTGAAAATTTCAGAACTCTTAACAAAACTCTCAAAATTTCATTATGAATGGCAGTTTCTAATTGGTGCTAGCATAAAAATCACCATTAATGAAATAATAATTTAATTTTGAAAGTTTTGTTAGAGTTCTGAAATTTTCACCACCAGAACTTTAGCTTTGTAAGTACTTTAGAACAATTTAGAACCATGGATTGCCCAGGCCTTGTGATTAGCTGTCCCCGATTTTTTCTTGTCTGGAGTTCCCCTGTGTTTGAGTTTTGTTCTTTATTTACTGTTATAATTTTAGACTTTCCACTTGGTGGTCTCCTTCTTTGGAGGCTTTGAAGCAGAGGCTGGATGGGAGGGCTTGGATTGTGGCCCAAGGGGGTTGGTCTGGATGGCCCTTGGGTGCCCCTTCTGCCCCTCCAGTCCCGTTCCCTGGGGCTGCAAGACGTGAGAGGTGCCATCAGAGGTGAAGCCCTCCAGCCTGAGAAGCGGCGTGAATCATGCATGGCTTTTCGTGGAAACCGGTGACTAAGAGCTGCTCGGAAGACGAGAGGCCTTTCCTTCTTTAGAAGCATCTCCCACATGACCACATGTCTCATTTGTTCTGCCTCTCCGCTCCGTCACTCCTCTGAAGTGGCTTTTCCTTTCCAAAGGGAAACATGGGACGTCATGGGTTCAAATCACAGGGAAGGAGATCCCACCTGAACATTATTACAAGGAACTTCCTGAACGTGAGAAAAACTCTCTGCTTTGGAATGGAGTGGAAGTCCCTTCCTTGGAGGCTTTGAAACAGAGGCTGGATGGCCATCTGTCAGGGGTGCTTTGAATGCAATATTCCTGCTTCTTGGCAGAATGGGGTTGGACTGGATGGCCCAGGAGGTCTCTTCCAACTCTTGGATTCTAGGATTCTTGGGCAGAAGGGATTGTAATGTTACCAAAGTGCAACTCCCGGGATTCCAGGGCATTGAGCCTTGGCAATTAAAAGGATGCCAAATTGCATTGATGCACCTAAGTGCTGGCAGAGCCCCTTTCCCCCCAAGGCCCTCCTCCCTGCAAAAATAATCCCGATCCATTTTGCAGTATAAACCACAACGTGGGAGAAATCTCCATGTGTGTTTCTCTCTCAAGGACTTTCAAAACCTGGGAGACTCTTGGTGCCGGAAAATGTCAGAGGCCCGAAGGCCGGGAGACCGGTTTGTGGCTCCCCACATATTGCTGGATGGCAACTCTCACCATCCCTCCATGCCTCTTCAGATGGTGAAGGCCGATGGGAGTTGTAGTCCAGGCGCATCAAGCACGATTTCTGCCTGTCTGTCTTAGGTGGTAGAGGAGCACCTGAGATACACATTCGCACCTTGTCCGTGCCCTGCACAACCAGGAAGGAAAGGTAAAGAAGGAAAGGAGGGAGGGAAATAAAAGGAAAGGAAAGGAGAGGAGAGGAGGAGAGGAAAGGAGAGAAAGAAGGGAAGGAAAGGAAAGAGAGGAAGAAGAGAAGGAGGAAGGAGGGAGGGAGGAAAGAAGGAGCAAAAGTAGGAAGGAAAGAAATGAAATCAGGAAGGAAGGAGAAAGAAGGAAGGAAGGAAGGAAGGAAGGAAGGAAGGAAGGAAGGAAGGAAGGAAGGAAAAAGGGAGGAAGAAAGGCTGGACAAAAGTAAGAAAGGAAGTGCAGAAAGGGAGGGAGGAAATGATAGGGAGAAGGAAGGAAGGGAAGGACAGCAAAGAAGAAGAGGGAAAGGAGAGAGGGAGGAAAGGAAGGCAGGAAGGAAGGAAAGAAAGAAGGCAGGCAAACAGGACAGCCAAATGCAAGAAGGGGAGGGAGCAAGGAAGAGAAGGAAGGAAGGAAGGAAGGAAGGAAGGAAGGAAGGAAGGAAGGAAGAGAGGGAAGGAAAGGGAAGAGAAGAGAAGGGAAAGGGGAGGCAAAAGGAAAGAGAAGGAGTGGAGGAAGGAAAGAAAGAAGTGAACGGGAGGGAGGAAATAAGAGGAAGGAAGAAAGGGAAAGGCAGTGAAGAATGAGGGGGAAAGGAGAGAGGGAGGGAAGAAAGAAGGAAATGAAGGGGAGGAAGGAAATGAAAGCAGGCAGGAAGGAAAGAAGGTGGGCAAGCAGGACAGACAAAAGGAAGGAAGGAAGGGAGGGAGGGAAAGAAGGAAGGGAAGAGAATGGAAGGGGGGAAAGAAAAGGGGAGACAAAAGGAAAGAGAAGGGGTGGAGGAAAGAAAAAAGGAAGTGAAGGAGAAGGAGGAAATGAGAGAGGAAGAAAGAAAGGAAAGGGAGAGGCAGCAAAGAGAGAGGGGAAAAAAGAGAGGGAGTGAGGGAAGGAAAGAAGGAAATGAAGGGGAAGGAGGGAGGAAAGGAAGACAGGAAGGCAGGAAAGAAGGCAGGGAAGCAGGATAGCCAAAAACAAAGAGGAAGGAAAGAAGGGAGGGAGGGAAGAAAGGAAGAAAAAGGAGAGGAAGAAGGAAAAGAAAGAGGAGAGGAAGGGCAGCAAAGAAAGAAGGGAAGGGGAAAAAGAAAAGAAAGGGGAGACAAAAGGAAAGAGAGGGCGTGCGGGAAGGAAAGAAGGAAGGGAAGGGGAGGGAGGAAAGGAAAGAAGGCAGGCAGGGTGGGCAGAAGCAAGAGAGGGAAGGAAAGGAAGGGAGGAGAAAGGAGGAAGTTAAGAAGGGAGGAAAGCATAGCGCTGGAGCCTTGGGTGTCCTGACACCATTTATTCCCACATTGAGCAGCAGCACGACACAGCGGGGCCACGGGGTCCCCTTCTCACAGTGACGGCACCCAAGACGGCCACTTCCTAGCGCACACCGGAGCAGTAGGTGGGTGGGTGGCAAGGGGGGCACACGGTCACCGCCAAGCGCTGCAGACGGAAGGAGGGAAGGAGGGAAGGGGCACAGTGGGACTTCAGCACGGACACCCCACTCGACCACAGTCCAGAGAAGGGAAGGCCAATGGGGCGGTGGCCCCGGTCTCTCCAAAGCCCTGCAGAGGGGCTCCTTTGCACAGCGGAGACAGGGAGCAGAACGCTGGGGGGCTGTGGACCCCAAAGGCAGGCAGGCAGCGGGGCTCAGAAGTCTTGGTCCCAACCGGAGAAGTCCTCCTCAGGCACTTGCCGCGAAATGGAAAAGCGCTTGAAGTTGACGTAAGGAGAGCCCTGGAGAGACCGGAAGGGAGGAAAGCAAAACAGGTCACTTGCAAGAAGCCCACTCCTCAGTTACGGCAAGAATCAGGGAGCTGGAATGTTGATGGGGAAGGGGCTTCCACACTTGTCAGTAGAGCCATGAGGGACACAAGGAACCCCACAGTGCCTGCCTCCTGTCTTTCTTAGGCTGCTTCAGGTAGTTGGCTTCCTACCTGCACAAAGAGGTCACTTTGTGCAGGTAGGAACCAGGAGATTTCACCACAGCCTCACCCATTGTGTCATATCATGACTGGCTGAAACTAACATTAACTTCATCAATGAACTCCATATCCCAGGACAGTAAAACAAAAGGACCTAGCCTCCTGGGGCTAGACAAAGATGCTGATTCAAAAGACTAAAACAATAACTTAGATTTGGCTCAAGAGCCTAAGCTATCACTGGATCGTTGGGCAAACATTCGTAATTTTAATCATGTCACCTTTCCATTCCTTTCATCGTTCCCTCATTGGCTGAGCAGCCGAAGCGGGGCTAGCGCTCTGATTGGACAGATCACAGCCTAGCTGACCATGCCTCACAGCCAGCTGATGACTCCAGCCAATCAGTGTGAAGCTGGCTCAGGGGACGGGAGCAGGAAATTTGAATTTGACAGCTCTGTATTTCCTATAAATATTGCATTATTTTCCCTGAGTCATGTGGGCTTCTGGGCAAATGATTGCAGTTGTCATCCATTTCAGCTGTTATGAAATAAACATCTCAGTGGCTTTCCTTTAACTTGGTGAGACTTTATTTGGGAAAAATTCTTTTGGGTGCTTGCTGTCTCGCCAGGTTGCCGGATCCTCCTTTTTTTGGGTCTGTCCGGTCTCTGCTCTGGCAGGGCCTCCCAAATTCGTGCTCAACATCACAGCCAAACCTTCTTTGAACCTTAGTGGATTCATGCTGTGTGTTTCCCCTCCTGTTTCCCACCATGAGCTCATCTCTATGACTGGCAATGCTGGACTCTGCTCTACTAGAGGCACCCAATATTTCCTGCAAGGAGAGGGTCCAATGAGGAGGGGGGGTGTGGGGCCTTACCTGTTTGAGCAGCACTGTGGTGGGGGCCTCAAGCTGGCGCAGTGCCAGTTTCTTCCAGGAAATGGAGCTGAACCACCTGGGAAAAGGGACAAGCGGGAAAGATGGGGATCGTAAGAAGAAGCCAGGATCACAACAATGGGTTTTGTATTAGGACAGCCATTGGAGGCAACCCACAAGACGTAGCAACAAGAAGCCAGGTCACAACATGGCCTAAGGACTCTGGAAGCCTTAAAGGGGATCAACAGGCTGTTCATGTGCTTTTGTCCAGGTTCAAAAGCCCTATATTCCTGGTGGCTTCCAATACCCTATACAGGCAGTTCCCAAGTTACAAACACCTGACTCATAGTTAAGAACAGGGTTGACAGAACACGAAGTGAGAGAAATCTACCCTTCGGAAGGGAAATCACAGGGAAAAGGGGTCTCCAACGAAGCTTTATTTACAATCATTGTTTCTACAACAAGCCATAGAGCTTTCCTGTATGATTTACTCACGGGGGCAAATACACTGTGGGAGAAGGTGGGATTGCGGTCTCTCCCATAGCTGCAGGCAACCTCCCATTTACAAAAAGTGTCCCCCCAAAGGTTATTTGCAAATGGCTTCCTAAACCTATCTATGGTGTCCCAAAATCTATAGAAAAAGCCTTCCTCCGTATTGCTCCCATGACATTGTGAGGAAGTGGGGTTAGATGCAGGCATGGGCCATGCCTATGTGACAAAAATGATGATGTATGGTTTGAATGAAATTGTATGGCAGGCGTATGACTGGGGACCTATAGAGGCTGGAGATGCCATTCTAAGAAACGAAGCCTGGAAAACTACAAGAGGTGAATTCATGTACTGTAATTAAAAGTCGCTGACCTTGTTTGTGTCTGACCTTGATGACCAGACACAAATGATAAACTCTGTGGTGGAAAACAACATGTTTACATTACCAGAGACAATGATTCTTTTAAATTAAGTCAACACAATGGTTCCTTATGTTAAGAAGGAAATTCAGTTATCAGTTAAGGAAGACAAGCAAATATCTGTCTGGAACTGGTGGAGTCAAGCAAGTTTTAGCTTGGCAAAACAACTTGTCGTTTGTTTACAACTTTTTGGAACAACAACAGAAAGAAATAAGCTGTAATTAAAAGTTGCTGATGAGAACTGTTGATGATCAGAGGCGAGGTGGAAAACAACATGTTTACATTACCAATCACAATGACTTTTTTCAGTTAAGGAAGTGTTTACAAGGTTCCTTATATTAAGAAGGAAAACCAACAACTGTTAAGAAGGTAAGTTAACATCTGTCAGCAAGCTTTGTTTACAATTTTTTGGAACCACATCAGCAAGAAATAAGCTGTAATTAAAAGTTGCTGATGAGAACTGTTGATGATCAGAGGCAAGGTGGAAAACAACATGTTTACATTACCAAGCACAATGACTTTTTTTTTAGTTAAGGAAGTGTTTACAAGGTTCCTTACATTAAGAAGGAAAACCAACAACAGTTAAGAAGGAAAGTTAACATCTGTCAGCAAGCTTAGCTGGGGAAAACACCTGTCATTCATTTACAACTTTTTGGAACCACATCAGCAAGAAATATGCTATAAGAGACACTTTACTATTCCAAAATTATGGCAGACAGTGGTCTGATCCACCCACCATGTTCTCCAAGGGATGGACAAAGGTGGCGTATTTGCAGAATGGCAGATTTACAGGGAACACCATATGGCCTACTTTGGGGTCTCTTTCTCAGGAAAAGGAAGAAGAGATGGTAATGTATATGTCAGTACTACAGTTTTACCGGTGCGAAATATAGTTTAAAGTTTTTAAACTCTGTATGTCTGGTGTAGGATGTAATGCTATGCAAGAGTTAAAGGGAAAGAGTGATTTACTGCTTAGAGAGTGAACTGTGAGCTTTTCTTGTATACGTCACACATTCCAATAACATGGATTTGAGATAACGGACTGCTGGGCGTTCTCTTCCAGCCATGCCGGAGAAGAAGCAAGACACATGTATCATAGAGTGATTTACTCCCAATTGCTCAGGGCAATTGGGAAGGGAAGGGAGCCATTTTTTAGTTAGTCTCAGTAAGGAAAGCTAATGTACAGGACGTGTACAAGCTCCTCCTGTACAAAAGCTTCAACCCAATGCTCTTAAGACTGTTCCGGGGGAGAACAGTCTTAAGAGCATCCAAAGATCTCCGAAGATTTCCAGGAAAACAGCTCTAAAGCCTTGAGGAATTTCGGAGGGCAAACAGTTTGGAAGACCACAAAACTCCAGCTGGAGAACCTACTAGCCTTACTGGTAGGTCCACTCGGTGCTCAAGACGCAGATCGACCCGGTAGCAGAGCCCACATCAGTAAGGATTAGATTACAGCCAGCCTGGGAGAAGTTAAAAAAGGGGATTTTCTTTAAAGTAAAAGAAACAGTTACTGAAGACAATTGCCTGTCCTCCGAGGACAAGATTAGGAAGCCACCAGTTGCATAAAAGCCTGGAAGCATTTGTTTAACTTTATTGAAGACAAGAAAGGTTTTTGTTTGATTGTTCATTAATAAAGGACTTTGTTATTCTCCACAAGCCATCTAAAGACTATTTGTGGTGGAAAATCCCTGAGAACTTCTCTTTCGGGGGGCCCTGGCTTCCCGCTGGGCAAAGGTCGCATGTCCTTATTTAAAGACAATTCTTTACAGGCCTAGCGTGCGACAGAACAGCTAATGAGGATGATTAATTGCAACATTCACACCTGCCTCCAACAGACAAGAGTTCTTTCTCCCACCCTGGACATTATTCCACAGGTATATAAACCTCCCTTGCTTAGTTTCCAACAGACCTCACAACCTCTGCGGATGCCTGCCATAGATGTGGGCGAAATGTCAGGAGAGAATGCTTCTGGAACAGGGCCAGACAGCCCGGAAAACCTCACAACTCAACCTTCTTAAAGTTTACAAAGTATTTAAACTTTTTAAAAATCAAAATATTGATGACAGACCTGTGCTTGCGGATGCCTCGGATCCCGCTGCTGGTGTTGCCCAGTCGCTGCCCGGGTCGGCGCCTGCAATTGAACAGGGAAGAAGGGAGCAGGATATTATTCCTTTTGGTTTCTTTGCACAGCATGCAGCTGCTGATCTTGGAAAGAAGTGTTGCAACTCAGAGTAGGCTTCACCTTGCTTCCAAACACCACCACACAAGGGCTGTAGTTTTACAGTTTATTGAGGAAAAAATCCAAGTCAAAATAAAGAATAAGCATTGCAAAATCCAGAGATTAAGGTTAAATGCAGAATATAGTTCCAAAGATCTTCAGGTAAAAGCAGGAGACACAATCCTATTGGCAACATTCAAACCAGAGTCCCAAGTACAAGCAATGAAACATTTGCCCCAAGAATCACAATGCAAGAAATCCCAAGCGTACTGCTTTCCAGGCTAAGGTTATTCCATGAAGCTTTCAGGCTAATGAGCTACATTGAACTGACGCTTTCACCGAGTTTCCAGGAGGCCAAAATACCTTTCTAACATCAAAACATTAGGCTCTCGGCATCATAAAAGCACTTTTCACCGAGTCAGCCTCCCGTCTGCTTGCCAGACGCAAACTCCGCCTGACCCGGAGATAAGGCGAGCTTCTCAGGTCAAATCCTTATCTGCACTTTCGGTATCATCGTAGGAAGGCACCTGCTCACGATTCCCTTCGTTAAAATTCCTTTCTGGTGAAAACAGCTGTGTTGACACTGCACTGTCTGTGAGAGCCTTGGAAGCAGGCTCAGAGATTTGAGGCACAGACAAAGAGCCAGGAAGCTGAAACCCAACAGGAATCTGAATCCCATCATCCTCATCGTCAGAAAATAGCTCAGCCACAACAAGAAGGGACAGGGTCTACTTCTGGGTGGGAATCTGAAAGCGCCAGCGTTTCAAAAGTCCTTGACGCGTGACTCACTCAGGACAAGCCAAAAGCCAGCAATGAAGTACTTTCCATTTTGCAAACGACTCCATTCACAAATAATAAACGAGCACAATGAGAATAGGGAGGTCAGAGGTCTGTATTGGGAACGTGGCTCGTAAAAGGCCCTCGCAGCTCAAAATATGGCCAAGCTGGGTCACAACATCCCATTATGAAAGGCGTTTTCAAAAAGAGCAGGCGAGAGGTCAGCAAAAGAGGTCTTCAAGGCTCTCTCCAAACAAAGAAAAATGGCAGCTCAGTTTAAGGATGAGTGGCATTATTGTCCCTCCCGTTGTGTTTGTGCTCACGAGGAGTGGCTGCCCAAGAAAGGAACCTGGGAATTGATTGAATTGCTGTGCCCAGAAAATTGTTTTGAGCCCTGTTTGCGCCTTTGAGTCTCTGTTAAGAGAAAAAGCGGCATACAAATAATAACAATAACAATGGGACTGTTCCCACTGTTTTTAATCGCGTTGTCTTATTGATAATGTTACATATTTTATTGTCTATGTTTTATTTAATTGCTTGTACTGTTGTTGTTTTGCTTGTATTATTGTATTCGGGCTCGGCCTCACGTAAGCCGCACCGAGTCCCTTGGGGAGATGGTAGCGGGGTACAAATAAAGTGTTATTATTGTTACTATTTGTTCCAGGTGAGGTCTGACCAAAGCAGAAGAGGGTGGGACAATGGCTTCCCTTGATCTAGAGCAGCGTTTCTCAACCTGGGGGTCGGGACCCCTGGAGGGGTCAAAAGGGGGTGTCAGAGGGGTCACCAAATGTGACGTTGCGAGTAGCACCACCTATGTGTAGAACTGTTGGTTGCAAGATTTAAACTGTTGTATCATGCTTAATCCTGCCTTTTTACCCTGCTTATGTATAGTTGTATGGATTGGTTACTTGTAGCTGTCAATCAGTACTGTTTGGCTCCACCTCTTCCTGCAGGAGGGGAGTGCTTCCTTTCTTTTCATTCTGCCATCAGAGTTTCAACCAGATGGACGTGAGTAAGAGACTTGACTCTAAAAGACCCTGATTAAATTACCTCTCAGCACCAATTCTGAGGTTTTTTACCCTTGAGACTTGTGCTTCATGTTCAGACCAACCTGAACGATGTTGGAAGTCTCAAGCGCCTTCAAACCGGTTCTTTTGGCACAAGAGGAAGATCCTGAGTCTTCAAACATGCCATCTGAACTGGGGTTGTGGTTTGCTCCGGCATTCACAGCCATTGAGGAAAGAGGAAACTTGGTGAGGCTTCTTAGCTTCAAAAACCTTTGACCCAGGACTAACTGAGACTGTAACGTATATTTTCCTTCACCCCTCTGACGTTTCCAGCTCATTGCTTTAAAGAAATAACTTTGTGATCAATAAAACTTATTTTGAGTTATTTACAGCGTTTTGGGTCTTTGGGAGTTCCAGTTTCCTATAGGAAGGCAAGAAGCAATCCCCCGGGGAAAGATACCACATCCATGCCTCCTTCATTAAGAATAATAGCCCCCAGGCATGACAGCACACCAAAGACCATCAGAAAAAACAGTATTTTTTGTTCGTCATGGGGCTTCTCTGTGGGAAGTTTGGCCCAATTCTATCGTTGGTAGGGTTCAGAATGCTCTTTGATTGTAGGTGAACTATAAATCCCAGCAACTACAACTCCCAAATATCTATTTCCCCAAAACTCTACCAGTGTTCACTTTTGGGCATATTGAGTATTAGTGCCAAGTTTGGTCCTGATCCATCATTGTTTGAGTCCACAGTGCTCTCTGGATGTAGGTGAACTACAACTCCCAAACTCAAGGTCAATGCCCACCAAACCCTTCCAGTATTTTCTATTGGTCATGGAAGTTCTGTGTGCCAAGTTTGCTTTGATTCCATCATTGGTGGAGTTCGGAATGCTCCTTGGTTGTAGGTGAAGTATAAATCCCAGCAACTACAACTCCCAAATGACAAAATCAACCCCCCTCCCAGCCCCACCAGTATCCTAATTTGTGTCTATTGGATATTTGTGCCAAATTTGGTCCAGTGAATACATCAAATCTTTGCATTACAACTGATAACAGTAACAAAATGACAGTTATGAAGTAGCAACGAAAATGATTTTATGGTTGTTGGTCACCACAACATGAGGAACTGTATTAAGGGGTCATAGCATTAGCAAGGTTGAGAAACACTGATCTAGAGCATTCATGGGCCCACTTGGGTCCTCCCTCTAGGCGTTTTGGACTTCAACTCCTATCATTCCTAACAACTAGTAGGCTGTTCGGAATGGTGGGAGTTGAAGTCTAAAACACCTGGAGGAAGGCCAAAGTTTGCCCAGGCCTGTTCTATAGCATTGAGTTATGCTAGAACAGTGGTTCTCAACCTGGGGTCTCCAGATGTTTTTGACCTATAACTCCCAGAAATCCCAGCCAGTTTGCCAGCTATTAGGATTTCTGGGAGCTGAAGGCCAAAAACATCTGGGAACCCAACTTCAGAACCACTGTGCTAGAGAAAGTGGTGTAAAACTGTATTAATTCAGCAGTGAAGATGCACCCAATATCCCTGGCTTTAGTCCAGAGTTCTAGCTCCAAGGCAATTAGGTTTAATAGTACAAATTTGGTTTGTTTTGTTGCGACTCAGCCTGTGTGTGAACCTGAGCCTGAATCTCTGATTGTGTTGCCTAATGTTGATGCTAATGTTGATGCAAATGTTGATGGGCCTAATTTGTAAAGTGAGGCTGAAGTGATCAATGAGGACGAGGCTCAAGATGGAGACACTTTGGGAGTAAAAATTCTACAGGCTTTGATTTAGAGGCTTCACGGGAAAAGCCAAGTTCTCATGAGAAAGTTTCCGTCAGAGCGAGAGAAGAAAATTCACTCCCTTTTCCTCCTGGCCCGAACACCTGGCCGGGTCAATGATAATAGCTGCAGCTTGGAAACAAGCCAGAACCGCAGGGAGGCTCAATGTTTACGTAGGTCCGAGAGAATCCGACAACTGAAACCAAAGATTAGAATTAGCCAGAATTAGTTTCTGGGTTTTAAGGGTGCCCGTGAGGGGGATTTCCTCAGACCAAGCATAGTTTAGAATCAAGTACAAACCTCCTGGGTTTTCCAGTTTCCAGGGGTCTGGTCTCTAAGGGAATTTCTGGCTTCAAGTGAGAATTAGCAGGGGCTAATCTGTT